TCTACCCAGAAGATGCAACAGAAAGAGAACAAAGAAAGAAAGCAAACAGTGAAGAGAAATGCCCATTAAAATGCTTTTCAAAATAATCTCCATTATAATCTAAAATGGGCAAAATCAACCCGACGCCGAATGATGTGCCGCCGTTAATTTCGTGAAATCCTGCTGAAAAGTGAATTGAAAACTCCTCTTCAGTCAGATTTCTAAGAAACTACGAGAAAAAACCGAGATAATCGCAGCTTCAGTGAGAAGAGGCAGCAAAACGATTAGGAGAAAGTCGCTCGTAGAATAATCAAACCCGGAGGAATTCAGCGGAGCTACGCTTTGCACTTTCCCTCGAACTCGAAAGCGTTCAGCGAACGGAGAAAAAAAAGAAAGGAACAGGAAGGAAAAGTCGTGAATGATTTCATCCAGGATTGCAGTTTGAATAGGATTTTCTTTGAACAAAAAAAAGGTCTCTCTTAGTTTCACACCGAATAACCTAATTTGTGTAGACACACGCACACATCCAGCACTTCACGCGGGATCCATCAATCTTCAGGGAATGGCGGATGCGTTAGAGTCAGCCGGCGCAAAGCTGCCACGCAGATCACTTCTCCTCCTCGGTTTATCCATCAAGAATCCATGAAGGGTCCGTTATTCCAGGCGTCAATCATGCCAATCAAGCTGACTGGCACGGCCGCAATTCACTTATCCTATTTGGATGAGAATGTGAAGAAAAATCTTGGCCAAGGGGGTGATAGGAGTCTGTAAAAATGAAAATCCAACTAGTTCCCTACTCAAATCAAGCAATAGTATTAGCAATTAAAGAAAATGGCGTCAGCTTTTTCAAACGACAAGCACAAGGGCTATTCCTAGTTCGGAAGAGTCTTCGAGCAGTAAAACGAATCAGACAGACACGCCTTCTGTCAGTCAACAAGGGCATACTTCACGGGACGGGGCTTTCTGGAACGCACCTAAAAGCAATCCCCTAAAGGAAGATTCTCGTAGGCAGTTTGGAAATCGTGGAGAGCGATGGAATTCGTTGCAGTCGACGAGTCAAAAGTGATTGAATAAGGGTCGGCTGCGGCAGCAGCAAGGGAATAACATCGACGATGAAGTAGGCGGAACGCGGGATGGTGGGGCTAAGCATGAGGCGTTCGGGGTGATTAGAAGATGGTAACCATAGTCTGGGCTGAAGCTGAAGTCGGAATATCTTCAGATGTACTTCAGCTGCTCAAACAGTTGAGTGGGAAGGAGATGCAGTGATGTTGTCGCCTGACGACAACCACTTTCGAAAATAAGTCAATACTTGTGATGAAGTAGGTGTTTACGCAAATGTCGATAATGCAGAATGGGAAGATTCACGTTGGATATAAGAAATTCTCCAGCCATGAGGGAACCCCGAGGAGTCAAGGGCTATCTGCGTAGGCGATGAAGAGACTGACTGAGAGCAATGAAATGCTAATAGCTGTCACTCATGATACAAATTAGCATCAAGCATTTCAACCCCGTGCTAGTCAGCCCTGTCCTACTCGTGCCACTCTCCAGGCCCGAACTTGCTGCCCTTTTCCCGTGATTCAATATTCCGTCCTTACTGATGACAATAATAGTAGAGGTGGTCGAAGAGCCTGTGACTGACTCAGGAGGCTAAAATTATTTGGGTTGTGACGTTCCCAGCACAAAGTTGCCTCTGATACGACTGTGAAAAGCCAAGAAGAAAGGTTCGACCACCATGGACTAAGACAACCAGTCCCCAGAGACAAAATCTCTTCCCTTCCTTGCCCGCACCCTCGCCCCACCTTTACTCGTTGCATGCGTTCACCCTTCTGCCTGATTCATAATGACTATAGAGGCTGTTTACGGCCACGTTTTTTCCCCTCTCATTCCTGAAATCATTACAGAGAAGCTTCTTCTCTGAGGACCAGTGATTGCGCCAGTTGGGTAAACAGCACTTCCTCGTATGCCCTCATTCACTGCCCCATTAGTACCTGCACTGTCCTGAACAGAGATTTCCGATTTTTGGTTCCCAGCCATTGCAAAGGATCCTNAAGCAACAAATCCGTCTTCTAAGAATGCCCTCATCTTGATCTCATATTTTCATGTTGCCAACCATGACCCTTTAGTACGAGGCCATTCTCGCCTTACCCATTACCACTTACTGTTTGCCATGCTTTCTTTTATTGAGTACTTCCAGATACTCCATAATACGACAATCAGCTTCACTGCTTACTTAACTGGAACATACTCTGGAACATGTCCAATATTTTCTCTTTTTATAGGGATACGGTATCGTGAAAGCACTCCTAATAGCCGACATATCAAGTTATTTATGGGCACAATCACTCTATCTTGCTGGGCCGTTGCCGGAGATTCGTGTGGTAAACGGGGTTTTGTTTATGAACCCTTCTCAGTGTATCGCCCTATGGCCTACAAATCGCCTACAGGGTTGAGCTCATGTACAAGTTACTGTACCCATTCCACACAGGTTTTACGCGGAGGATCCGACTGCAGAAAGGTTGGAGGTTTCTTGGCATTGGTGAGCTTTAATCTGAGAGAGTAACCTGGTCCATCCCGACGTAGCGGTGCCCCTTGGCACTGCAACGTTAAGACGGCCGCGGTTCTGGAACTGATTGGACATGGAAGGTATGCGCCTAATATGCTTTACTACTGCAGTTATTTCTGTACAACTTCAAATGGATATGGATTTTTGCATCAGCGACAACCCTCTACTGACAGTCATCTTACGTAATTAGCCCTTAATCCTTTGTCCTATTACGGCACAAAGACGTAATGAATGTCCAAGCTTTTGAAATTGCAGCAAAGGAATCCAGGGCTATGCACCGAAAGTTACCGTACTTCCCTTACAACGTCCTTGAACAATCAGTAAGTCCAATTTTCATTTGAAAATACATTAAGTTGCTTGCCAAAAACTGCGCATTTTCGTTCCCATGTTGTTAAGTCCTTGGGGATTGCTGAACGTTCAGTGTGTTATATCAACGGTTTCAAGACATGATAAAGGATTGATACCGGAAGCTCGAATTTGGACACTCCGACCTGACTGGAAAATTGCGATGTGGGAGACCAGCTGGGCTGGATTAGGATCACCTTCTGTAGCTTGTCGAAGGGATTCCAGATAGTACCCGCTGGTTGACAAAGGAGCTTAACAACCATAACGACACAGTAGCTGCCTATCTTTATCGTCCCGGAAAGACAAGAAGATACGGCGTAAGGATGCCTCATGAGCTTAGCGGTCACCAGCTCTAAGTAAGACGAGAAGCTGCCACAACTTGTTGATTTTCCTACGCACCCTCGCATGGCTGAACGACTTAATCACCGGCGACGAAAACTGGGTTCCTTACGTAAACTTCATGAGGAAGCGACAGTGGCTTGGAATTGGAGAGCATGGAATTCCAAAACCCGAAACAGAACTTCAACCTGAAAGGCATTGGTCAACGTTTGGTGGATTTTGAAAGGGATAGATCCCACTGAGAGTTGCTGCCTTCGAACTCCGCTGTTACCGTCGAAGTACACTGTGCCCAGCCCGATCGCGCTGCTGCAGCTTTAGGAGAGAAACAACGGAAAGTCTAGTTTCCCATCAATAATACTTGTCTTCACATTGAAAAGAAGACCCAGAAGAAACCACAAGAAATTGAGATAGCATGCCTAGACCACTCGTTGTTTTTACCAGGTTTGGGCCCAACATATTACCACCTGTTCCTGTCGCTATCGAACCATTTGAAAGATAAAAAGTTCGGCGATGTGAAGCAACACGGGAAGTGCAATGGCGAGTTTCTATACTACTCGAAGCTTCAGGAATTCCATGCAAGCGGGATCCACAAGTTACCTGATAGATGGCAATATGTTGTCGATAATGATAGTGAGTCGCCATAGACCGTCACTGCAATCTCCTTTTCCGGTATCTGCTTCTCAAGATTGCTCCTATTCAATGAACACCTTTAGAGTTTTTTAGGAGCTTATTTTTTGGACACACCATCTTACAAGAACAGCTTGGAAGGTATTCATGACACAGGAGAACCGATCAATTTGTGGTCGATATGGACGCAATCGAACCCTTGCAAATGGCGTAGTGCACCCCAAAACGCAGAGATTGACATCGCTCCTCTTCCAAAATGGCTTGGTGTTCACAGATAGAGGCCCTAAACCGAAACGTAGGCTGGTTGTGAACATGCCGAGTTGATGGTCGGACATGGAATGTGCTGTCAACTCCTATAGTTGTGTCAGTGGGATCCGGATGAACTCCCAGAGGTTAGCTTCAAGAAAATAATGTTAATCCACTCAGCCACCTTATTTCATGGACGACGACAAAGACGACTCAGACCACTTTTTTACGGCGGTACCTATCATGAACAAAAATGTTGCCGTAACCCTAGGGGTGCTGTTGATTACGACAGTTTCATACATAGGGGTTGTTTTGTTAATACTTTTATTACAGGATCACCATTAAAACTTCAAACTTCAAAGCATGAGTTGTCAAATTCAAAAAATAAATGACTTACAAGAGGCAATGCATGCACCGGATAGTTGGTCATAGCAAGATGATGGCATTCGCTAGGGTTAAGCCAATAAACATCTGATTTTCCCGATTAGTCAAAAGTTAGTAGATGATAAACGTGTGAGAAAGCAAACCAAGCTAGCTGACTATACAATATGGCCGGCTTAACTATAAATAAAACAAGTAAACCGTAAATATTGAAAGGCAATGTCACAGGGCTTACATAGAATGTTGAACAACGCGTCTCAGTATATCAAAAATATCACAAATTAGAGCATAGGAAGCTGTCCGATCGGATGCAAGGAAGAGATACAGAAAAGCGAATGAGATTACTGACAATAGACTGCTTCAAAACAGGTACAAGTATGCGACTAGAAGTAAAAAAAACTAGAGACCATAGCAGGGGTCAGGACTAAAAGAAGCACACAAGGGAGGAAAAGAACATTAACTCACAGAAGCGCAGAAGAAGGCGATCAGATAAAGCAGGAAAACACACTTAGGTTGGCGTTCATTTCAAATCGCCGATAAACGTCGTTCTTGGATATTTCTCCTTCAGCTGCTTCCACTGGACTATGATATCATCAGCCAAGCCGGTGAAGTAAAGAATGGATCCTGAATCAAGAGAATAGTAGGCACTGAGCCCGCATACAAGAACAATGAAATATAAGAACGGGCATCCTTCACGATTACAACCATAGTATTCGGGGAAATCATTCTTTTCCAATTTTAGTACTAGAAATTCGAAAGGATAATATCCTGATGGGCTGAGGGAGAACCAGGACGGAAGAATGCAGACTTGATNCGTTCTCGGATATTTCTCCTTCAGCTGCTTCCACTGGACTATGATATCATCAGCCAAGCCGGTGAAGTAAAGAATGGATCCTGAATTAAGCAGAATAATAGGCACTGAGCCCGCATACAAGAACAATGGAAAATAAGAACGGGCATCATTCACGATTACAACCATAGCATTCGGAGAGAAAGCATTCTTTTCAAATTTTAGTACTAGAAATTCGAAAGGATAATATCCTGATGGGCTGAGGGAGAACCAGGACGGAAGAATGCAGACTTGATATACGGACCACTCCATGGTGGATGCCATGTCATAGAAAAATCGCTCAAAATCTCTATTCTTACAAAACCAAATAAGTCAAACATTTACAACTAAGCCATCTGGCGTGGCGCGATGATAAACATTTTGGTACTCAGCCCACCATGTGAAAATTACGGGCAGCTCTCTTGTGTATACCCTAATTTCCTACCTTTCAAAACGACATTTTTAAACTTTCGTGGGTGATCTCCCAAAGCCTAAGATTCTGCATATGCTTCAAAAGAACGAACTTACCAGATAATGACAAACTTTCAACGCGGCAAATAGATTCTTCGTAAATTATTATCGTATCACGCAAACGTATCATGTCAAAAAGTGCAGCGGCAAATACAACTGGAATACAGCTTCCAGGACCATTCACAAGTAGAAGATCAGGTCTGAAATAGTTGCATTCACAATGGTGAATCGAACAGCACATTTGTACGAGTTTCCCATCAACTAACATCAATCAAAAGGAAGACATATGTGTATGAGGGTGAGCTGGACGCTTCGTTAAGGTATTGAGAACTCTGCTCATCGCTCATCGTCTCGCTCAATGGCACAGGGAGGAATGAAATCAAGGTTTTTTTTTTCTTAAGCGGTGGGTGCTTGTCTATTTTTTCTGCAATTTCGTGCTAAGAAATCCAAAGCCATGGAAGTGGACAACGATGTTTTGCAAATCACGGTTCTAGAAAGCAAGAGACCCTCAAGGCTTTCTCGCATCTCAGAAGCCCTCGATCAATAAAGCGGCCCTAGCTTTTTCAAACATTTCAATGAAAGGCCCAAAATGTAATATAAAGTGGGTTTTAAGTTACCGTACGGCGTACCAAATATAATTGTCTCTGAGATGAAGTATGAGCACTACAAAAATTGATTACGTATGTACAATAGCGGCTGTAAGAACATCAAAGAAAAAAGCAAAGCACCAGTGAAGGATAGCTCAGCAAGACGTCAAACGTACTTAGCTTTCCATACAATTTGTAGAGCATAAATGATAGAGTACAGCGTTGTCGGCACCGCAGTCAGGAAGCTTTGCCCAACTTCACGACTTCGAGGAATGCGACAAATTTGGAAAGCGCCGCTGTCACGCGTTTTCTCAAAATTGAGAACCTGAAACATCTTACATACACACAAATTTCACAAAACAATACCAATACTATTTGAAGCGGTGAATGTCAATGATAAATTGGAACCCTAGGTGTTGCAGTCCACTCTGATGCGTGAGATGGGTATAAGAAGCGAGCGAAATTCTCCACGCCAGGATTTCCAATATCACATCTGAATCCCAACCCTCAGTACCCCTAACCTTACTTTTATTCAGTTCGAAAAACGACATATGAACCTAACTGCTGTAGAAGCAGTTTCATAGATGTGTATAAAAGTTTGTGAGCGCGCGCTCAATTGTCATAAATTGCGACAGCGCTTGGGCTGAGAAGGGTTTTCTGCAGACGATAGTCTGCCCAGCCATAGGCGCTGTGTAAACGCACTGGTCAACGTACAACTGTATGAGATCTTTTTTTAGTCTTTTCAAACAAATTACAGTATGTCGACTTACCATAACACATCAAAATACAACCAGAATAATAAGCAAAATTCCAAGGGTTTAACACATACCTTATCCTCACTCATATGATCCGTATCAGCCACCACATAGCAACGAGGAGTGTACTGACTGCCAAGGTGTTTGAGTAGTTCGAGCATTTCCGTTGTATGTCCACCGGAGCCCATCACGCAACACAAGGAGACTGTCTTTCTACTTTGAGGATTCAGCTTCTTTTCTCCATGAGAATGTCGTACAAGATAGCACAGATAGCCGGTGGTCAAAAATACACCCCATAGAATAAGGCTCACAATGAAGAAGAAAAACACGTANTTTAACACATACCTTATCCTCACTCATATGATCCGTATCAGCTACCACGTAGCAACGAGGAGTGTACTGACTGCCAAGGTGTTTTAGCAGTTCAAGCATTTCCGTTGTATGTCCACCGGAGCCCATTACGCAACATAAGGAAACTGTCTTTCCGCTTTGAGGATTCAGCTTCTTTTCTCCATGAGAGTGTCGTACAAGATAGCACAGATAACCGGTGGTCAGAAATACACCCCATAGAATCAGGCTCACAATAAAGAAGAAAAACACGTAGATCATGAGGAATCCTGAAATGCGAACAATGATTCAGGCAGTCTAGTGCATTGAACGGTCAAAAAATTGCACGTCGACATCCCTAAAACCGAGAATAATCAGTAACAAAATGGACCTTAGAAACGAGGATGAAAACGGCACTACAGGCAATGACGTAAGACAAATGAGCCGAACTTTCTTGAAAATAAGTGTAGCTGTAGTTCACTAGATGAGATCCCAGGCTTATTTTTGATCCACAACAACCACTACCACTTAATAGCTCATTGAAAAGCAGAGATTAGTAGCTGTAGGAATGTTCTCGGATGCAAAAATGTCCCTGCCTTGGATGGGATGAACATTTCTACGAATTGCGCGTATTTACTGTGTGGTGTACGTGAAATGCGGAGGATACTAATATGTGACGGCATTTCCGTGTGCCTTCATTTGAACAGCGATTTTTGCTTTACAATTTTTACGGGTTTTTTGCCTTTTTTTTTCTTACACATGTTTCTGTGATGATTTTAGGGTCCAACCGTCGTTTGTTGTGGTCGCCTTCAGAATGACAGCCACTGATGGTAGGTTATTATTTCCAGATGTATTTTTTATTTCTTCAAGCATTTTTGTCCCAATAATCAGGTCTGTAGTTTTATTTTGATGGTGCCATATTAGCTAGAGGCTAGTGTAGACTGTTGTCATGTCTAGGGAGCTTGTTGCGCTGCATCACGCCTAGTTAACCAGTAGTTAATGAAAATTCAAGGATAAGCGAGGGGTTCTGATTGAATCAAATGAAAATGAGCGCATAAAAAGGACGGGTTTCAAATTCGTGGAATATTCAGTGAGCATACAATGGGACCTGTTGTGGGACGAGTGATAAGGGCCTGACAATGTAAGGAAAGGAAAATACCTGCCGTGGGTGAAGGGACAAAGCAAAGGAGTCGAAAAAACAGGGATTGTTAAATGGTTTGGTGTGGCTAGGAGAAAATGGGGAAGTAGATAGACGGCGGTCAAGTATTTAGCAGAACAGAATACTCATAAACTTGGTAGAGTGATTCTTACATTCTTGAAGATCGAGCTATAAATCCAATCCATTCCTCCTTTTCTCATTTATGAATTTTTACGCGTTTTTTTAGAAATATACGAGCTGGATTACGATGAGGAGCCCGTATTCGAGACAAATGTCAGGAGCAATGCGTCGGTTAGTTATTTATCCTATTTTTTCGAATTTGTTTATAACATGGCCTAAGCTCTACGAAATGGAAGCATTCGTAAGCTGCTAACTTACTTAGTGAATTATATAAAAGAATCACTGGAAATTCCACCAATCTATTCGTTTATACAATATATATATGCTTTATATGCTGGAGGGTTTGCTCGTGAAATTGGTACTTGAACATTAGAGTATGCTTTCTGTATTCCCATTACAGGCCCTCACAATTTATTTTTTGTTATTTATAGTAAATTTTCTACTCAGAGAGGCCCTACGACTTTGTCCCGGACCAGAATTTTTTTGGAATACATTAAACAACTGGCTGTTTCTTGTTAGGATTTGGGTACTTTCTTTGTTTATTTTCCTGTGTTTTTTTATCACTTTCTCATCCATCGGAATAAGTTGTAGAATAGGAAATGAGCACAAACACATGTTTTGGAAGCGAATTTCTTCCCGAACCAATGCTAGGCAAGTCAGCTATGCAAAGCTTTTCAATTTTTTTCTTCCATTTTTTCCCCATAATCTGTCCAGATATGGCAATTTTGCGCGAATTTGCTGCTATGAAGTTTGAGGTATTCTCTGTGGGTTATGGTGAGGAGGCCTTCATAACTAATTATTTGTGGCTGTTTCTTTAGTGTAAAACATGACTTTATAGAGGATGACATCTTTTCATCTAAAGCATTGTTGCGATATCGGATCAGAATCACGGTCTTTCCTTTTTGGAAAGCAGAAATTCCAGACTGTTGGTAAATATTCTGTTTGAGGAGTGTAAGAATAGGCGCCTCTTGTTATTTCCCACAAATAAGAGCTATTTACATCAATTTCCCACATATAGGCATGTTTTTATAATGCATTTTTTCGAGCGAGAAACTCCTAAAGCACGGAAAATTTCTCCAGTTGTCTCTTCACGCGCATTTTAGTTTCTCCGGCACCACTTGGTGCTGATATGTAGGCAAACCCCTGCAATGATTGTAGAAGCACAAATGAAGTTCGCTCTGGGAGAGATGAAGGAGTCTGTGGAAGCCTTTCTTTCTGACTGTATAATTATGGAAAAGGACTTTAAACTTAGTCGGCCAGACATCGTTTTAGCTCGGTTAACTCGTGGATGTTGGTATGCAGCTCCAACTATAGCATAAAAGTGAACCCCCTCTGTGACAGAAAATCTCGCATGTCTCCCTTCGGCTACTGGCCGATGTGATTGATCAGTTTATTTGAGCTTCGATGTAATATGCTTTCCTCATATTGTTACTGATAGTTCCAGTACCACCAAGGCTCCCGCAATATCCTTAGATTTAGGATGCAAGCGTTTACTACAAAGATAATAGGAATGACTATAATTCTGTAGAGGAATGGTTAGGTGCGTACCCTTATGTAGATATAGATTTACATGCCACAGGTTTTTTTGAAGGTAAGCTCAGTGGCACTACCAAATTTGTTGGTGATATTGTAAAGATATTCGGTAATTAGCACACCAATAGTCTAACTTTTTTTTCACTCCTCTATTTCAAACAATGTCACTTCACCCATTCTCTCTTTCCCAGAACCATTGATGAGCATCAGGGGCAAGTGAATATGGGTTCGTCTGGTGAATGAAGACGCTAAACGAGCCATTTTTGATCTGTTTTCAATAGTATATCATTTTGTTATGTTTGCTTATTGCTTGGAATCTTCTATAGATTTCATTTTGATGCAGTTCACTTACTAGGCGAATCTGCTCACTCAGTTATCAAGTCCTTATCAAATCCCCTTCTTGGCAGTCGAATGGTTCGAGCAGCGGCAATGAAACTGTCATGGCTTTTTTTCTATTAATTCTATAGTCAGAAAATTTACGAGCTCGCTGTGAGCTCTACCCTAATGGGATTAAGATGATTAATTTTATTGATGTGCTTTGGCATTTGTCATAAGCTTTGTGGACATACTACTATGGTAACGAGGTAAACGGTGAATTGTGAAATCTATCCCATTATGCACCCGAGCTCAAAAACTCGAATAGAAATGCAGTGAATCAGAGGCTCGATCACAATGGGGTGTGTATGGGTGGAAGTAAATGTGAAAGTTTTTTAGTATTCAGTTTCTGTAGGGGGACAACTCCATTCCAGATCCTTATACCCGATGATGTTTCAGATTAAAACTGCTTTTGGGTAGATCATGGGGAGCAGAGGAGAAAATGTTCGTCAGAAATTCAGTTCATTTGTTTCATGCGTCGTGTTTTTGTGTAGTTTCTGGAAGAAGGCTATGTTCAGTTAAGGACAATGTGAAAAGCCCTGTGCTCTCGCCGCTTTCTGGCATCTTAGCGGTCCCTTTCTAGTCAGTAGTAGGGGATGATGCAGGTATTTCTTCGGTACTTTTCGAAAAGCTGAGAGTCTTGGAAAAAGGAGTAAACTCTTCTGTCCGTAAGTCTCCTGTGAGTTCACTTCTGAAAATTTGAAAATTGGAAGACAGTATTCCGTTCAAGCAGAATAATCTCAAAAATCCTTTTCCAAGTCATCGTCCTGGTAGTGACTAATATCATAGAATGTTAAGGGTCTCTAGAAGCTGTGATGATTTCCTTGAACGTTTTATATGCCGATTATTCGTACCCACCGATACCGAAAGAAAAGACTTATGCCTTTTCAGTTTCACAAAACTTTATGTCTATCAATTATTTTGAGTAGAACTATTTCATGAGCAGTGTTTCGGCCGGTTTGGACTCATTCTGGGCAGACCCTGGAAGTCGTGACGATAAAAAAGGATAAAAATAGAAATCATTTCTTTAAAGAGATGCAAAATGTGAAAATGGTAATTTCGGTCATCCTTAGTCCTGCCTATCAGGCTCAAATATTATTCGAAATTCTGATTCTGTTTGAATTTGCCTTTTTCAATATTTTCGAAAGTCCGCCGATGAAGCGGTTGAGTTCATTTTCATAAGTAAACGTTTTCAACCGTCAACTGAAGAAAATTAAATGTTTGCTGAATTTTAAATAATGCTGCACGCACATTTGCAATCATATAAGGTACTTGCTCTACGTTCCAGATAATTTGCTAGATAGAATGCTTTGAAATGCTGAAAGAATTTGAGCGGACCATCATCCTTATTTACCTTCATGGGATCGGTTCCCCCAGTTTCATTAGGGAAGGCTTTAGTTTGAAAACGTCTTTAACTTGTCTCTTGAACTTTCGAGCTCGTCATTGGTCCCAGAAAGAACACGGTACCCGGGAAACACAAGTACGGGTTCGACTGAAATTTTTGCCTAAACCTCGCCCAGTTTGTGAGGCAAATCATCACTGATCAAGAGAGCAACCAGCGCTACTCCTAGACATGGCCCTTTTCCCGTCTTCCATTAGCCAGCAGGACTACACCGGACGACGGGAGCCGGTCTCAAGAGGTGGGTGAGCAACGAACGACCTTAGGTTTGATTCTGTCACGTAGCTTACTACGGAGGCTGCTCGAGGGTTATTCTCCCCAGCATTTCCAGCTGCTTCTGGAGATTTTTCTGATCATTGCTGTCGTTCTAAGGGAACAGAACACAGTTCGTTAGTTCTGCCGCGAAAGCAGCCGTACAAAATCGTTCTGAAGTTGGCATTGATGGTAAGCTTTCCGAGTAATGGTGTCCTATAACTTGCGCCAAGATTCCCTAATATCGTAGGACGTCCAAGCAGGGATTAGGGGGCTAGCTAAGGTCTGAAAGCGGTCTACGTGGCTTTTTTGTTTTCAGAGCGAAGGAACGTTGAGATGCAGCGGCCACCATTTTATTGTGGTTCCGTTGTAGTTCCGAGTTTGAACTACAACGTATTCAAATGGCATTTCTTCACAATAAAGTTTTTGCTAATGGGTGAAAGC